AAAACTGTAGGTCCAAACCAGATCTGTATCAGTGTATATACTTCTTGTGTTGGTTCATGTCTGACAAATTTGTAGCTGCTGGTGAGCCTTACACTCGATAGCTTCCCAGACCACCCCTGCAAAAGGGACTGATTGCCTACGTCTGTGCTCCTGTTCAGACTCTGTCAGACCACAGAAGGTATGGAACCCGAGTGAATCATCGCTCCGTTACTGTTCAGGCTTCCGTCTGCACTGAGTTAATGTGTAGGGACGTGTAACCTATCCAGAGGTTTACTTGAGTCCATTCAAGAAAACTCAGTTTCCATCCATCAGCAAAGCTGCAGGTAGGTGCCTGATTAGAGAATCACTCTTTACAGATGGCTGTGCACTTGTATCCTGCTCAGCGTATAAACAGCAGGAAAAAAAACCAACCTAATTTTTTAAGTACCTCTGTAAATTTTGGGTTAGCAATTAGCGTTTCCAGGACTGTGATTGTTAACCAAAGTGGTGTTTAAGGGAGTATGTGACAGGTTGGGGGGTGTCCTAATACATATTGTCGTGGTTTAACCTCAGCCAGCAACTAAGCCCCACCCAGCCGCTCGCTCACTCCCCCCCGGTGGGATGGGGGAGAGAATCGGAAGGGTAAAAGTGAGAAAACTCGTGGCTTGAGATAAAGACAGTTTAATAGGGAAAGCAAAAGCCGCGCACACAAGCAAAGCAAAAGAAGGAATCCATTCACTGCTTCCCATGGGCAGGCAGGTGTTCGGCCATCCCCAGGACAGCAGGGCTCCATCACGCGTAACAGTGACCTGGGAAGGCAAACGCCATCGCTCCAAACGTGTCCCACCCCCCTCCTCCTTCCCCCAGCTTTACATGCTGAGCATGACGCCATATGGTGTGGGAGCAGTGCTCACACAGAGTCAAGGCCTTTTCTGCTTCTCACACCACCCCACCAGCGAGTAGGCTGGGGGTGCACAAGAAGCTGGGAGGGAACACAGCTGGGACAGCTGACCCCACCTGACTAAAAGGATATTCCGTACCATATGACACCATCCTCAGCATATAAAGCTGAGAGAAGAAGAAGGAAGGGGAGGACGTTAATAGTGATGGTGTTTGTCGTCCCAACTAACCGTTATTTGTGATGGAGCACTGCTTTCCTGGAGATGGCTGAACACCTGCCTGCCGATAGGAAGTGGTGAATGAATTCCTTGTTTTGCTTTGCAGTTATAAGTAATGATTAAATTTCTAAACTGATATGCAGGACTGGTGCTAAAACATGACAGTCCTTATTCCATAACATTTACGTCATGATCAGGTCCCACACTATCCGATACATCCTCATTAACCACCACCCCCCTCCCATCCTTTGATACATACGCAGATATCATTCCCTTGGTCTATGGACCACCCTTGTAAAGTGTCCATGAAATGTCCAGAAATGTCCACAAAATGTCCACCGAGTTCATTTAGTCCATGGCTTTGGGTTCCATCTCACGGTGGTCACTCAGGACAGGAGAGGTGGTTCGCTGCCTGGAGTTACAGGGCCCCAAAGCCAGCTCAGGTCGGGTCACTGCTGCGCTTGCACTGCGTCTTGTAAGGCTTCTCCTCCGTCGGTTCAGGTGGTTCCCGTAACGTGCAACTCCAATCCCGGGTTACAACAATTTAAAGGTATTTCCATTACAACAACCTCCACTGGTCCCTGTGGACCAGACCATCGAGTTTAACATTGGTTACTACGAAGAAAATTAACTCTACCCCAGCCAAAACCAGCACACATATTTAAAGATTTTTTTTTTTTTGGTGGGAGTGAAGCATACCCATTCGTATTTTAGGCAGGAATAAATCAAGGCCTGTCAGAGGAAAAAAATCTATTCTGTAGCACTGTGGGGGGGGGGACGGGGGGGAATAAATAGCCCCCAAAGAGCCCGTTGTACTTAGGAAACTCTGGCAATTAACTGTTTAGCATATGGACAATGAGAACTTCCAAGCATAGAGGAGGAAGGGAAAAATTCTCAAAAATGTACTGCCCAATCTGCTGGAGATCACCTCAGAAATCAGTGGTCAAGACCTAGCAGTTATGGTGCTCTGGAATAAGCCACGCAAGCGCATATGGGATGTATTTGAAAAGGACTAATGAGAGGAATCGTCTAACAAGATCATCAAGATGCATGAGAAAGAGGGCTGGCAGGGGGAGCCAGGAATTTACATAACAGAAGTCCCAGACTTTGAAACTAGCCTGGAGTCCCCTCACTCCCCAAACTCCTGCTCTTCCGCATTTGCTATCCTGAAGCATCCCGCCCTGGGGATCAGTCACCCTTGGTTTCTAAAGCACGAGAGCGTTTCGGTGCTCACGAGACCCAAACTCACCAAAGTAAGAACCTGCAGACACAGTTGTAATGACACCGCAGTCACTTTCAGATGCCCTTCGCTTATTTTGTTCTTGTAATTATTTTTCATCTCTCCTCTGTTCTAATGGTAACAACATTTATAGCAAACACCCACGTACCTGAGTGGTGGCTTGGGACATACTGACGCATACGCATCAAAAAATGCCAGGCTTCAGATGGTATCAGTACACCTCCGGTACCTCGAATTACTTTAAAGATCAAAACGTACTTTTAAATTTGAATGAACTATTTAGCATATTGTAGAACCAAAAGATGGAACAAACTTTCCCTGGAGGGAGGATCCGGATGACTGGCTGGTCGGTCTGGGTTCGTAAAACAGCCCTCTGTTTACCTGTCGTGCTCTTCTTATCACAACGCTATCTCAACACCTTTCCAAAGCAGTTAAATCCAGGCAAGTTGTCTGGATTTTCTCACATCATCGCACATTTTTTTTTTCTTGTCCACATCCAGGAGCAAAAAAACGAGATTATTGTGTTGTTTTTCATCTCGTACAAAACTCTACATCTACTAAAGAAACGGTGTGTTAGGGCAGGGCTGGGTGCAGCTGGCCGGGGACGTGCGCTCTCCCCAGCTGAGCGCCAGCAGCACTGCACAGTCCCACCCCTGTCGCACACGGGGACTCTGAGCATTTCAGAGAAGGCAATTTCTTGTAGCTACCAAGAATTACTCACTAAATAAGTGAATTAATTAAAATTTGCATAGACAAATAAGAAATGCAAAACCTCAATGAAAGTGCAATAAAGGGAATCTGTGAAGCTCTTACTCTCCAGGATGTTTTCTACCCTGTAGTGGTTTTTGAGAGATATTCTGTTTAATAAGATTATCCTAGATGCAATTTATAATGATGCTGACAGAAGGAGCTAATCTGATACCAGGAAACTAAGATATCCAAAATTATTTTCTGTGCTCACCGAATTATTGTGTTCCTCTTTCTGTTAATGCTAGATCGTTCACGCAACATATTTTTATGCTTTTTTTTCCCCAAAAAATATGAACTTTTTGTTAGTTACTTTGAGAGCTGAGCCTTAGGACTGACAGTTGACCATTTTCCAGATGATCAGTTTAAATGTCTCTTCATACTGAGGAACGAGCGGCCCCCGAAAGCGAACTGAAGCAGAGGATCCCTGGTTTAACTGACCCCGCAGAGCAGAAGGAATGGGGAACGTAAGGGGCCGACATCGCTGGGCTGTGCAAGGAAACACCAGCCCCGCCGGGAGATAAAGGCAGCCTGGAGCAGGCAGGGTGACTCCAGGGAGAGGGTGCTCAGCGAGAGATAAGCGTGGCGAAGAGAGAACGGTTGGGGAAACCGGGCTGAGCAGAAAGAAGGGGCAGCAAGACTGTTTGATGATAACCCGGCTCCTTGGGATACCTGGTCTATCAAGGTGGGAAAGTGGCCTTGAATTCCCAGGACGTGTTTGCAGCTGGCGGTACGGAGGAGACGGCACTGATCGAAGCCCAGGGAATGAAATAAGCAGAGCAAAAAAGAGCGGCCGTCCGGAGGGGGAAGCACCCTAGCAGGGAGTTGTGTGGATAGCAAGAGTTTGGAGCTGCTCTGAAGACGGACCCATGATCCGACTGGATTCCCGTGGTGTCCTGGAGCCGACACCGTCCCAGCAACCTCGCTGTGCTGGATGCTGTTTGACTGCTCAGGGAAAGGGGACGCGCTCAGAGTTAGATTGCATAAAGTCTTGTTATGCTGAATTTCACTAATTTCTGATTATTTTGCTTGGGACTCACTTCCCAGTCAATTTTACCTTTTTCTTTACCTTATCCCTAATTAATGTACTAAAACCTGTGCTTGGAAAGACTAATGAGAAGGGAGCAATGAAACCCCTGCTCTTTCAAGTGGACAAATATGGGGGGGGGGGAAGAAACACCAGGTAAAATTCTCCCACTTAAAGTTTCAATGAGAATATATTTCTCTCTTGTGTTGAAAACTGTTCGGGGTGATTCCCCCTTCAGTAGAACGAAGTCCAATGGCCGCAGCACGGTGTCATCCTTGCGTTGGCACACAGAGAAGTCCCACAGGCCAAAACGATGGCCACCAGCAAGACAGCGTGGAGTAAATCCAACCGTCATCCAGGAGAAGTGAATCCCAGCCGCACCGGTCGCTATAATGACATCCCACTTCGCTTCTTTGAGTCCTTCCGTGCAATGGGACTGAAGGACAAGATCTCCTTGTAAATATGCTCTAGAAAAACAGAACAAAATAATCGTGAATATCACTAGTGTGTGTGATTTTAGAGGACAGAAATGGAAGTTTGACTGTTACACGTGCGGAGAGGAGGCATTCAGTGGAGAGGATATGGCGGGTACAAGCTGGGAGGAAAAGGCAGAAAGGCAAAAAAAGAGCCTGAAGAGATGGAGGGATCTTTGCTGAATGCATAAAAGCAAGAGCAAGGAGAGGGAGATGTGCGCGATCACCGAGGCACCGGCAGGCAATCGCAGCCTTACTCAGCATGTGCACAGGAAAGAGAGAGAGGCAGGAAAGTCCCGTGCTGGACAGGAACTTCAAAGAAGCTAAACTTACTTCTCCATTCGTTTATCGAAAGCTTTTCATGTTCCAGAGAATCATCATAGGACTGTTGCGCTTCCGTCTCCTCCTCGATGTCTCGGAACTGGTCAAAATAGGGGTGAGCCAACGCCTCCGTCGCTGTAAGGCGCTTTTCCACATCCAGCTGCAACATCTTGTCAAGCAGGTCCACTGCTGTAGGAGAAGACAGGAACAGGGCTAAGCAAGGGGCGGTGGAGAACAGGCATCCTGTGCATCGACCCTGCAAGTGATGGGACTAGCGTTTCCAGTACTACATCTCCAGACCTGAAAGCGAAAGAGATTCCTCAACCTGGCCAAGGTAGCGTGGAGCTCCCGTCAGCGGGGATGCAAAATCTGCCCAACAGCAGCCTCAGGGAGCTCTTACTAACAGAACTGGAGGTGTAAATTGTGCAGAAATAACAAATTAGTCTTGAATAAGCCTTGCTGCGTGGATGGGGCTGCGAGAACATAAGCAGCGAGCCAGTAGCTTCAAGATATTTTTCAGTTTTAATCACTTGCTTTCACTCTGACCCCCGCAACTCAAAGTAGTCGTAACATGAGTAATCTATGCCGAAATCTATACATCCCTGGGAAACAGGAAGGCAGGAAACTCGGATACTGACAGGTCTGTCGGCCTCGTTCCCCCTTGGTTTTAACAGCTTAATGCTTTCTTCCTTTCAGCTTTTAGAAGAGTTTTGCTTGCTCTCGCCTCTAATCTACTTGGGAAAAGAGCTCCTTGCAAGAGATCAATTTTTACCCTGAAAATTACACATTTCAGCTGCCTGTTAAGTATCAATAGATCCAGGTGTTCAACAAGCAGTTATGATCTATGCTGTACTCACAAAAAAAAAAGTAAAAATAAGATTACTGGAGCGGACTGCAGGGCTCTCTTAGCACTTTATCAAAACCTATGATGCCTTAGATGTGGGGCTGGGAAATACTAATGAAAAAAGAAGAGCTGCTTTGTTTATCTAAATGCTACTGATGATAATATCACCTGCTTGGCTACAAGCAACAAGCTCTGGAAGCCAGTATCAGCCAAAATCCATCCCAACTCTCATACCAAGTGCAGCTGATATATGCAACTGTCTTAATTCCACAGTTTGCATCCCACAACCTAGACATCCCGTTGCATCCAGCACCCGCTTTCTTCTGGCTTGTTGATACAAGAGTCAGAAGTTTATCTCTTCCTTAAATATTGTACATTACAGGCCGTGTCATTTAAAAATTAAATAAAAAATAAATTAAAAAAAAAAATCAAGTAAATGGCCAAGAACAGCAGAACGTTGCCATTCGAATGCCAATAAAGAATAACTTTGCTTTTAATTCGTACATATTTGCCCTGGGGAGGGGCAGGGGCACAACCTGCAAGGGAGGAAGTAGCAAGAAGTTATGAGAAAGAGGAGGAAAAAAAAAAGTCGCAGCTGTGGCAGTCAGCCTGCCTCCTTTCCAGCTGCGAACTCATGAGAAATGCTGGAGATGACTTACCCTGCGGATTGGCTTTGGGGAAAAGCACGGACAAATCCTTCTTGGGGATTTTCGGAAGGGACTTGATATAACTCTTAGCCTGAAAGAGAAAGGAAAGCACAGACATTTACTGCACGTGGACAAGTGCCAGGGGGCTGGGAAATACAGCTCTGGGGTCTCGTGGCTCAGAGGAGCAAAGGCAAATGAACAGCAAATCATCCCAGATGTCACATTCCAGCGACCAGTTTGCAAGAAACTATTTTTATTAATCGAGATACAGAAACGTTCCTGCTTTAAGGGCCAAACTGGAGAACAGAGGAGGTCAGTGGTTTGTTGGGGTGTCAGGCACCTCACCCGGGAGTCCCTGCGATCCACACCAGTTCCCAGCGCAATACCAAACCCATCAGACGTGCCACTACCAAAGAGAAACATCTTCCTTGCCAAGGGGGAAGGCTGCTGTCGCTCCTCTTTGCTGCTGTAGAAGCAACACCTCTCCCATCTCAAAGACACGGCCAAGTTAACCTCTCCCCACCACACCTCTGCCAGCAAGAACCTGATGAACTGTCTTACCGCTTTGTCCTCCAGCTTCTCCACGAAGTCTTCTCCTGGATGCCCCGTTACTTTCAGGATCTGAGTCAGTTGATCTAGGTCTGGCAGGCTGCGTTAAAGATCACCCGTCTAGGAGCGAGCCCTGGACACCACCCAACAGCTCAGCCTGCAGGCTGGGTGCAGGAGAGCCCGAGGGAGCTATGAGTAGGTTATGATACAAACCCAACAGAGCCGCGCAAGCGGAGACTCAGTAGACTGGCAAAGAGAGCTCCAAGGCTCTCCTCCCGGGATGCCATTTTCATCAACGGATAATTTTGCTGGCACAACTCTGCCAGGGCACGTGCCCTCAGGTTTGGAGATGGAGCTGTGGCCACGCAAGGTTAGACCGCTGCTGTAGCACGCACGCGGCCAGCACAGAGGTGTATTTCTAAGGGCGGCTTGGCCCCCTCCTATCTTCTCTCTCTTTTCCTCACCAAAAGACCCGCTGGTCCCTGCGATTACCTCCTGGTACACCAGACTGACACCTGTTTCTCTCGGCAGCTTATTTCATAAAAGCCCTTTTACACACACCAAGAATTATTACACCCCCGCCCCCCAGGGAAAAGTTTCAGCTTGAAAGGATACAGTCTTTTCCTTTAAACAGCGTTTTCCCGGTCAGCATTTCTGCCATGATGCAGCCAATAGACCAGATATCCACTGTTCAGAGAGAAAAAGGAGAAAAAAAAATAATATAAAAAAGGACAGTAAAAAGGAAGCAATGATCGCTGGGGCTGTTGCTTGCTTTGTTGCTTGCAGCAGGCACCAATTCAAATTTCACTCCCATTTTCCACCCTCCCCTGTTCTTTCCATACTGCAAAAATCTCTGCTTTCATCATTTCCCACAGGCACTAGCTTTGAGAGTTGTACAACAGCTTTGGGACTCGCTCTGCTCCAGGGGACACTGATGATAAAGAAGAAAAATATCTGGAGGATTACGTGAGATTTGACCCAGGCGTGACAGCGGGATCCCCGGGCTCGTCACCAGACAGTCACACTGCTGAAGCAAGGCAGCTCACCTGTCTGGTTGTAATGCATCCAGTTCAGAATGACTTCTGGGGCTCTGTACCAGCGTGTAACCACATAGCCGGTCATTTCAGCATCAGCGTGTCTGGCCAAGCCAAAATCCAAGATCTGCAGTTCACCAAAGGAAGAGGGAGAAGGAAGGGCAGGAAAGAAAAGAGAAATCCTATGGGCAAGTGAGAATCTACTTCTAAGAGGAAATGAAGCAGATCCAATCAGATAACAACAAAGCTCCAACTACACCACAGCCACCCACGGGACGGTTCAAAGAACTAACAGGTTTGTCTTAATTCCACTATTAATTGCAAGCCGGCTGTAAAACCAGTTGTTGCGTGAAGACCCTGCCGAAAGGATCAGCGCTGTGTGCTACCCGGAAGGTCAATTCCTTTCTTGAAGCTTAAGTTTCAACTCTGTGAGCTTTATTTAATTGAGTTGTTCTACAACCAGGCGGCGAAGGCATGCTCCCAGGCCACCATGCCTCACCCCTTCCTGTAAAAACACCTGCAGCTGACAGGGGATGCCATCTCCCTCAATACTGGAGATGAATATAGCTTGACCCAACCTTTACGGGCAATGGAGCCATCCCCTGTAACATACGTTACAGAAAACGTGTGCTAGAGCACCGCATCAGCGAGCTGCAAGCAAACCCTTATAGCAAGACTGAAAAGAACTCTGGCTGGAATCACAAACCGTCATGTGAATGAGAACCAAAGGGCAACTGTGGTTGAATCCAGTTATCCTTCAGGGATCGTTCACCTAACGCAAGTATTGCTCAGCAGTATTGAATTTGTTTAGGAAGTCGTTATGAACTGCCATGCCACAGGAATTACGGCGACAGGATGTTCATTCGAAGTCTTGAGCCCTGATTCAGCAAGTTACATCAGCAGGTGAGCATTTCCCACTGCCTGCAACCGCCGAGTAATGAAACTCCTCGAATCGAGTCTCGGAAGGCAAGAGGAAACATGACGGTGCCCTTGCAGCGCGGGTCCTCCACGATCTGAGATGCTACAAAGTGGTGCTTTTCCACCTACCTTTAGCTGACAGTCTTCGTTCACGGCCAGGTTGCCTGGCTTCAGGTCCTACAACGGACAAGAGCAGAACGGTAAGGATGTTTTGATTTGCAACGCATCAACACGAGCCTCAGCCAAACCTCTGCTTGCCTTTGACAAGATCCCATACCATCCCGAGTCCGATATTGATACAGCAAAGACACCGTGCCTGCTAGACTGCACAGCTTTAGATTACTATTTTATTTTTTCTGAAACAGTTTTAATTCAAAAAAGCGTCATAAAATGCTTCACAGCTCGTCAGAAAATACAGCATTTCCTCAAAATGCTGCAGAAATGAGCAAATCCAAACACATATAGGGTGTAGGAGGCAAAAGAGGGAGCACACCAGAGACCTTAGAGCAGACAAGGCTATTAGTGAAACAATGTTTAGGAATTTAATTAATTAACTTTACAACCAAGCTGTGTTTCTCCTAAACGGACAAAAATCAGAGTTAACAGCGCACATGAACTTACCCTGTGGATGATTCCGGCTGAATGAATATACTGCAATAAAAAGAGAAGCCACAATGTAATCACCAGCAGGCAAGACTTTCTGTTCTCCAGCAGAGAAACGAGAGCTACGAACAAGCACTTGCTGAGAACACAGCTCTGCACCTGCTGCAGGTCCCCGGCCCCCAGGGCAGCAGTTTGAAAAGAAATCTCCGCACTGAATTTCTGACAGCATTTGCAATTATATTGCCAGTCTAAAGAAGAGGCACAGAGCAGAAGAGGAGGTATGGAGCAATAGTTCCTTACAGCGAATAAACTAATAGCTTTGAACCACCAAACAAAGGCATCAGGGTTACAGGTAGGAACACGGTCAGTAGACGACATGAAAACTTTGTTGGTTTGGCTGTTAAACTACGCGGAAAAAAATCCCATAATTAAAACACAAAATTGAAGATCAGATTCAAGTTGCAAAAACTGACTACGGGGCTTTTACCACGCCAGTTAAACCTTCGGTGTGTTCTTCCCCCCTTTATTTAAACTCAAGATAAGAGTGATCTGGGGAAGGGCGTTATTGAGGTGAACTCATTAACGCCTGTAAGCCACTGCTCCGACTCCAGGTGAGGGATATTACGGAGGGCAGCATTAAGACATTGTCTCTACATCTCGGGGTTTGCAGTGATTGCTTTCTGCTCTCTCAAAGCCAGTTAAAGCAGCACGTTCCTTCCTTACTCTACTGGATAGAAAATCATTCCCTCTGTCTTCTCCCCCGAGAGCCTCTCTTCGGAATTCAGCAGAAGCTCCCTTTGCTACCAGCCGCCTCCTTTCTACGCAGGGTTTTGCTAAGGGTTTGAGCAAGTCAAAGAGTGATGCAGCCGCTGTCAAAAATAACCGTCGCAAGGTCTATGACTGCTGATTGCTTCGATACCCGACTGACTGATGTGAGCGAGCAGTCATTTTGATTGATGTGTGCTGGAACAAGGGTAGTTCAACAGCAAATATCCATTCTCAGGGGATGCCATAAACCCCCAAATCTTCCTATACGGTGTTGGAAGGGGGTTTTGTTACGGTTAACTCAGAGGTGATGTGTAGAGGAGACACGGGGAGTCACTAAACTCCTCCAGACCCACCTACCTTCAGCCCTTTCAGCATTTGGTAGACCAGGTACTGGATCTTTTCATCACTGAATTCATGTCCCATGATCTTTTGTAAATCTGTCCGCATGTATGGCATCACCAGGTAGCTAAAAGGCAGTAAGACAAGGCCCTGAGTCTAGAAGAAAAACACAGGGAACCAGGCTAGCCTTGTTCTCGCTTGTTTTTTTCCTGTGGCTGTGTAACTTACTGTGACTAAGGCAAGTTACTGTGACAATGTTCCTGGCTAACTAGCATAGCCTGCAGTGATGCTGGGACTTCGACCTGCTCTGAAAATTGCCCTTTCTCCTCCCCTCAAATCAGATATCTGACGTCAAGTAAGAACAAGGATCTTCCAAACTTTAACGATCCTGAATTAGCTTACTTTAGACCTCAAGTGATGTTCAATGCCGGACGGCTTTACACCATCTGGGAGCTGAAACATCTTGCGCAGCTTTAAAGAGTCTTGCAAAACTGCTGCGTTGGCTCCCAAGTTTATCTTTGCAACGTTCTCTAGCCCTGCCTCGGAAGACAACATCTAGCTTCCCTCAGTCTTTGGCCTGCCTGCCGAGACTGCTAGTTGACGGTCTTCCAGCAGGAACAGCTCTGAGAACCTTCAAACACTTCAGGCTGCTAAATACCCAGCCATCAGCTGAAAACCCAAACCCAGGCGCACGCTGCTCGTGCCGAAGGATGGGGAAGGGAAAACGACTTGTCCAACCTGACCATCAACACTGAGGGAAACGCCAAAAAAAAAAAAGAACAAGAACAGTCGGAATCAAGATGAAAAGAAAGCCAGATCTTTAAAATTCTCAGTTTAATTACCCCAGGGCCTGATGAACAATACTCCTCCCATTCCGAGTGCAGCCTCTTAGCTCAGCAGTCACACAGGCAGTGCGTTAGCGTGGATCATGCTGCATGTGATGCATCATGGAATGTAATGCCTCTTCATTACATATGTTGGTCTATATATACCGTGTTCTCCCAGCTGTGAGCACGGCATGGGAACTGTGTATGTATTCGGGGTGTTTTAGCCATGGGAACTGACTTGTGCTTTTGATTCCCCTTGTTATTTGGGGATGTCTGGCTTTAGTCTGGCCCCTTTTCAACTCAGTCTGTTGGACTGCACCTCAACCCGATCTATTGTCCTGCTGCTACGTCCCAGGTGCCTTAGGCAACGGCTGAGCCTAGATAGAGCGAACGCGAACTCCAAACTTACAAGTCCTGGAATCCCTGGTAGGAGGTGGCGGAGGTGAAGACATCAAGCAGCCCAATGACCTGATGGAGAAGAGAAATCCACGTTTAAACCTGGAAAGCATTTGCTGTGCACGTGGGACTCAGGTAGCAGCTCTCCAACGGCACACGCACATGGGTGAGCACCGAGAACTCCATCTGAGGAATCCAAGGACTCCTCACTATGCTGCGCAGCTGCTTTTCCTCTTACTAATACACGGGAGCACCCATTACACATCTGCTTCAGCCTGGTGCCAACTGGGCGCAGCAGACAGGCAGCAGTTAAACCCCGAGACTGCCTGCACGTGCCAAATGTCGGGACCTCTCAATTAAAATAAAGGTGATGCCACCAGAAAGGACTTGCTCCCAGGTGGCAAGAAAACCCCCTTGTTTCATCAGGAACGGAGAGAAATGAGTACTTACGTTCTCGTGTTGCATGTGCTTCAACAGCATGAGCTCTCTGTACGCTCTCTTGGCAAAGATCTCCGACTGGAACGGCCGGCAGAGCTTCTTGATAGCCACTTTCTCCCCTGTCTTCTTGTCTATGGCTGAACTGCAGCAAAGAAATAAAACCCAGTTCTGACATTGGCAGTATGTTTTAACAAATTTTGCAATACCAAAGGTCTTCTCTAGAAGAGCTAATTCCGGAGCTCACAGAACAGCAGCAAAGAAAGGTCCCTTGAGAAACCCAGTGGAGCTCTGCACACACAGATGTTCCCCCGTATGACTTTGGACAGCAGAGCACAGCCCGTGCTCTTTGGAGGACTAGGTGGGATACCAAGCAAAGCATTAGTGGCTCGTCTTTATTCCCTTTAACCTGCAGAAACAAGCTGGAGCTAAGAGCCGTGAGAAGAGGGAAACACAAATGGTTAAAGGTCAGGATTAGTTCTAACTCTGCCTTCTCCTTCCCTAACGCATGGAGATAAGGGAATAAAGCAATTTCTGCTTTGCCATCTGCTTGGAGGCTGTTGTCTTTTAAGGTACGTCAGCCACCTTCGCTGTATTCTGGAGCAAAGACAGTGGATGCCACGCACTGAAAATACAGGCTGCTGGAATTAATCCTCCTGCATTCGGCATCTTTGATGCTATAACGTATGCCTCTGTGTAAAAGCAGGTCTGGCTGAAAATGAGAGTCTTTTTGTAAAGGTAATGAAAACATGGTACAACAGCCGTCGCTGGAGACGTGACGTGTTATTCCCTCTGGTCACATTTGCTGTTTGCAGCTGGATAGGGCGATCCCGCGACACTTTCTCCGCTTCCGGAGGCTCTTCGATCAGGCCCCAGGTTTCACCAGATAAGGAGGGAGGTCCTCAGGCAGAGATAGCTGCAATTCGGGATTCTCGGTGGTGTTTTCTGCGGGGGGTCTTGGTGCAGCCTATTACGCACTGGTGCCTCAGCCCTTCCTTGACCACTCCAAGAGGCAAACAGATGAAGAAAGGGTTTTCCCTGCCAAATCGCGCTGTGGGTTTCCACAGCAGTTCCCCCCACTTTGTAAATCCTTATCTCATCTCCTGGGGAAACGGAAGGGCTATAAATCGGCATGTTTAGTCCCACAGCTTTTAGCTGCACAGGCTAACCGAGCCCACGTGAACGCTGGCATTAGTGCTTTGCACGCATCCTCCAGCCTCGCACAAACACATTGCCCCTGCTTCCTTCTCCGAAGGGACGCGTGATTCACCCTGCCGTGGTCCCTGACTGCCAGGCTCCAGCCACCGCTCCTTCCTCGAGGCTCTCGGAGGACCCGAGACAGGGAGGGGCAGGTACCATAAAGCTGTAAAGCCTCGTTACCGTGACCTCCAGGGCCATCACTCAGAGGCAAGACTTGATAAATGAACAGGGAAATGCCATCTGTAATAACGCAATCAACGCATTTTGCTGGGTTTAGGTCTGATTGCATTAGGAGAGGTGGGAATATCCTGCTCCGCGTGGCCTTCCCTTCGGTTCAATGCTGAGGAGGGATTATCGGGTCCTTGCTGCAAATCTTGGAATTCTCTTGCACAGCCTTCTGCGATTGTCAACCACAAGCGCTCAGTTGTGGTGCGTCCTCCGGCAGCACGGGCTATCATCAGCTCTCATCTAGCGAGCAGATCAGGCAATACCATCAGGCAATCTCCTGCTCTTGGCCACTGAGGTCCCTTCCAGCTGCTCTAAGTTGTGCGTGACAAGAGCACAGACACATCCTTTGAGAGGTGCGACGGCGATTTCGTCGATGCATTCAGCAGGGAAAAGCAAAGGAAGTGCTGGAACAGCCACGCGAGGCAGCTTCAGCGCTGAAGATGCCACAGGATATCTTAGGAGGACAGCGAAAGAGTTGTCTCAGTTTCAGGACTTCAGCAGGTGTCGGCAGAGGGGACAGCTCAGTGTAAAGTTTTCCGAGGAGCCAGGGAAATAAGAGGAAGGGACTCGGACCACGTAGTCAAACAGCTTCTGCAGCATTCAAGGCAGATCTCCTAATCTGAGGGTGCATGTTCTAACCCGCCTTCCCAGCTGCTGGCCTACAGAGCGTGGAACCCCACCACTCAACACAGGAGAGTTGGGGTGATGGGAGCTTCAGCCTGCCCAGCACAAACAGCATTACTTTCACCCTTGCCGTGAAGCACAGCTAAGAGTTAATTCAGCTGACGCAGCCGGGAGAGCCCACCACGTTCTTCCCAGCACAGGTTTAATGAATGGCTGAAGTCCGGGATGACACCGGGCAGGCAGAGCTGTGTCCCTGCCTCAGCCGGCAGAGATCGGCAAGACCGGCGTTGGAGGGGTCAGAAGACTCTTCCACAATTACATTCAGCTGGAAGCCAAATCACTACAGATTTTGGCAGAATGAATGAGGGAAGAAACACGTCTTCGCTGTTTTTCCTGAGTTAGTTTCTCAGCTGCTCAAGGAGGTGTAAAAGCCAGCAGCTCCGAGTAACGCTGCCGTAGGAAAGCTTCCCAGCAATTCCCAGCAGAGGACAGCAAATCCTAACTCCACACGCTTCCACCTCTGCTTTGTACAGGAATCGGCACCAAACCCTCCCCGCCGAGCGCTGTCCGTGCCATACCACCACACCCCCGGACCCTGGGGCTGTTTTAGCACCCATCCCTCCCTTCCCGAGACCTCCAGAGCCGCCGAGACCTTCACAGGGACCAGTAAAAGATTTGTCTTATTGCTGTTTGGTTTTTTTTTCTGGTGGGCAAGGGAACTTGGCAAGGATTTCCCTCTTCCCTTTTTTGTCCTGTCTATTTTCTTTTAGTCTTCCTGCTTTCCTTTATGATAAAAACCAGAAAACACTGTAGAAATATAAGAGTCAAGTTTAGTCTTGCCTGATTTCGCAGGACTCATTTAAGCACCTCAGAAGCTTAAATGCACCTGGACAGCCAAGTGGGGAAAGGAAACACTGGGTGCCTCTTTGTAAATAGGCAGCCGGGGGACAAGGACGGAACCTGGGCCCCAGGGTTGCAGGATCCGTGCCGTGACAGCCGCAGATAGACTTTGCCCAACACCTACAAAAGCGGACACACCTTTTTTTTTTTTTCTTTTTTTTTTTTTTTGGCCTGGCGTGTTATGAAACAAGGGCTCCGTTCAGATCCTGTCAATGGGCTGCTTCATATTTAACCTTTCAAAAAGTCGCCCATCTCCTCCGGTTCGCCAGCGTAAACCAAACAAGATCCGACTTCTGCTCGCTCACGCTACAGGCACCTTTGCCCAACTGATTAATCAACAGCAGCTCGTGCTGCTCTCTCTTAGGTTGAGGTTTATCATCAGCCGGGAAGGAAGGTCCCAGTCTGTTACTGCTCCTGGTTTACAATAATTTCTATTTCATGATTTCAAGCTGGAAGCAGTGTCAAGGTGGGGGTCGTATTGTCCAGCTCCTTTCCCCAGGCAGCCCAGCATCAGCTGCCTTGGACTAAGCAGCAAGGACATGCTGCAGAGGACATGCTGCAGCCACCCCTGTCCCCGGAGATTCGGTGCTTTGTTCCGGCACCCAGCTCTGTTATCATTTACAACTTGCTCTCAGACACCCAGGTATTTTTTCCCCCCCCTTTGCTGCCAGACAGAAATCCTCCCTTAATGCAAGCTCGAGACCAAGGCAGCTCGAAAGCTGCCTGACCCCCGAAGTCAAGGTGAGACCCCAAGCTGCCTCGCTGCACCTGGCAGCCCTACCTACCTGGTCCCCGAGCCACTGCCTAAGGATGCCCGCCGAGGCGAGCTCGGGTGGGAAACTTTCCCCTCTCTGCCCACCCAGGGCGACCACAGGAGGAAACATCTCGGTTTCTTCAAGACACCAACTCTCCAACCCACTGCCCGTGCCGGAGCAGGAGGCAAACCACCTTCATCACACATGCAAATGGCCCTTCCTAATGGAGGGGTGCCGACAGGCACCTCCTCGTTTCCCCCCCGGCGCGATACTTTAAACACCCCCAACTCGCTCCTTGCTGCTGCCTGCGGTGCAGGCAGGACCCCACTCACCAGACCGAGCCGTAGGCTCCGGACCCCAGGGGGTGGAGGGACGTGTATCTCCTGGGCAGCTCCCAGAGGGTTTTGTTCACCTCCTGTCTGTAAAAGCCTCTTCTCCTTGTGATGTTCATCGCCCGGCGGGTGCGGGAATGCCACCCCCCCAGAGTACTGGAGTACAGGAGGGCTTCTGGGGTGAGAGCGGGACAGCGAGGCCTCCTGCGCTGGTACAAAAAGGCTCTAGCGAGTCTCCTTCTCTGTTTTCAGCTGTTGCGAGCGTGAAGGGACATGTCTTTGGGCCCTCCTCCCTCCGCCTCCACATTGGAGGAGGTGAGGCATCAGGTTTCCCGACACGCCTCGGTCTTGTACAGGTGCCTCTGGACTCTGCTACAGGAGCTGAGCACCCAGCCCCGCGGCAGGCACACCTCCGGGAGCCCCGCCGTCACCTACAGCTCTTGCTCTCCTGCTTCCACCGGGCCACCAGCCGAGAAATGTCCTCGTGGGGCTCAGAGGGGGGGGGTCTCGTGAAATCCCTGCTCTGAACAAGCGGATGAGTAAGGACTTGTCGAGCAGGGGAATCTGGGGGACAAGCCACAGCGCCTCGTCAGCCAAGCAGGGACATTCTTCTTTCCAGCTGATAGAGGACAGCTCCAGGCTCGTGACGAAGGACACCAGGGTGTTACATCCACAGAAGAGCGAGGAAGCGATGGCGATTTTCTCCCAAGCCTGGTTTCCCAGCGGAGCGGGGACGTGGTGAACGCAGGCTGAGGTTCTCCACCTTCGTCCAGGTGACTGCAGCAAGGAGGTTCAGGAGCAGCCGCGAGGTGGGACCATCCCGAGAACTGTTCGTGCCCCAGGCTTTGCCGGGTCTGGTTTCATCTCCTGCAGCGGGTCCAACCCCCTTCTCGGGTCTTCTTGGACAGCGCAAAGCCCAGGTTCACTGCTGTGCCGGCCGGTACCACGCCAGACCGGCAGACCCAGCCTGCGAGAGGGTCCGTTCCTGGGAAGCAGAGAACACCTCGACATTTTGCTCCAACTTGAGGAGGCTCAGGTGGGGCTCCCACGCAGGAGGTAGGTGCATCCTACACACTTTCCAAAGGAAGTGACTAAGCCGGGCCTTAACGAGCCAGCCCAGCCGCTTACACCGCGCTCTACCCCGCCAGCCTCAACCCTGCCCACAGCCTAACCCGCAGAGGCGTCCCTGCTCTGAGCAGGTCTGTGCAGCAGGGCTAGAGCCAAGTCACCCCATAAACAGCAATTACTGAAAAAGCACCATCAGGGTTTTAGGAAAGACCCATTTTACCCGCTTACAGGCAACCGCTGCAACTGTGTCAGTGTTGGCCCTTACGTTCCTCAAATAGCCAGGGTAAGGCCTGCTGTTCCACAAAACACAAACTAGGGACAAGGGGCTATGGCAGTTTTTTTAACCTTCCTTATGTATATACGTGTAAATAAGCCCTGGCTATAGCAACAGCACAGTCAGGAAATAAACCGACAATTGGCTCGGTTCTATAAATACACCTGTGAGCAAGAGGTGTTACAGCAAAAACTCCTGGTACCTAAGCAGACGTGTAACCCGTTTGTCATTTTATGAACACAACTCTTGCTCAACCACGTGTGCACACACAGGTAATCGGCGCACAATTAAGGAGTTCTAAATATCTAGGGCATGTCTTGGCTGTAGAGAGATGAATTAATTCAAGTGACTGATTCAAATCGAATAGGAAACCTGGAGTTAAGTAACTTGATTTTGTAGGTGTAGTTTATTTTTTCCCCCAATTCAATTCTCACTGATTTTAGTTTGGGTTTTGGTTTTTTTTTTTTACCAGCCAGGATGTATTGTAACTGAGCACTTTCAGGAATTGTGTATCTTGGGTATTTTGGATTTTTTTTTTTTCCTCCCAGAAAACAATAAATGATAGGTCCTGTTTAGGCTTTCCCCCCCCCCCCCTCGATTTGTACCAAGGCAAGCAGAAGGTGAAAACAAGGAGGAAGGCAGCTTCCACACAGCTGAGAGAACACCCCCCCGCTCGGCTTTGTACTTACTCAAATCAGCGGCTGCACAGCGCTCTGAGAGGGGAGTGTACGCGTTGTAGCTATCAGCTACCTGACTCGGATCGACACGAACCACCTGGTTTTATCAAGGCCTGGGAACTGCAGTTACTGAGGCTTTTGTTAGTGTGAAGAACACAGCTTTGATCAGTCATTCTTCCGCGTGAATGGCACCGATACACAACAGAAGTTGGAAAATCTCCACTACGGAGGGCCACGATGCTCCTGCTCCCACAAACACCCTTCCACCACCAACTAGGTGGCAGCTGAAGAGGAAAAAAAATCACTTTTAAATAGCAAACAAACACAAACCAGTACTACTGGGGAAGGGTCCCAGGTCCGGGCGTGTAGCAGAGCACCGGTCTGCTGTGGTGAGTAAGCGCTCTCCTATACTAAACAGAAAATAAAAAGTATTTTTTTCTGGGTCCGTTACTCACGGTCACACTCTAAGCTGGTTTCGTATCAAAGAGTTCACTTGGGACAAATACGGACAGAAGCCCAGTGTCAGCAGACAGAGTCAGTCAACAAGTCATGCGGCCTTGGCCCCCCCGCCCAGCCATCGCAGACAGGATCCCGTACGACACGAGGGAGAAGCTCACACCGTGCTGAAACTAACCCTTTAGCGAAGAGGTTTGCAAGTACCATCAGCGCAGTAAATCTGAAAAATAGGTTTTATTTTTAACCAGTGGTATTGTGACATCTTATCTGGCATAACCAATTACAGCAAAATTCATGGATAGAAACAAAATAGCCGATCTCTTCTTCGAAGTGCGTCCTCCTGTTCAGCCCGCAGGCAGCTGAACAGCACTGCACTGAAGGTAGGGAGTGCATGCCGCACGGGCTCCCGTCCGAGTACGGGCTCCGAATGAAACATTCCCACTCTCACACGCGCACAGACACACACACGCACACACAACGTCTGTATTTTTAAAAATCTTTAGCAATATTTCCGCATGAAATCACACTGTAGCATCTACACATAAAATGGCTGATAAAAATAATCTTGCTGTAGGTGTACATAGTATATCTACATTTTCATTTGAATACCTGGACTGCTGGTCCAGCAGAAAAGGGAGGTTTTCTGTCTTGACTTTGTTGGGCTGAGGAGAGTTTTATCCCAGAGCATGAAATAACTGCTCTCTTCATCTCACCCCAGACTTTTGTTAAGTGTTTGACCTGAAGAGATCACTGGAAAGTAGCCTAGGAAGAATCAATGGCTTTGTCATCCGTGTCCCATCCCTTTGTGCTGCCTCTTCAAACACGGGGTAAAACCACTACAAACAGTTCCTCTCCGTCCCACAGGTAACAAGAATACTAAATACTGCAAAAGCCTTTCTCCTCACATACACAGGTACGTTGCCCACACGGGATGCCTGCAACAAATAAATGTCTAAAAACGTCTCCTCCACAAGTCCTAAAAACGGGCTCCTGAGCTCCCCAGCGACAGTTCTAGCACCCAAACACACTGAGAAACCTCCCTCCTGCCAGGCTCTAACCCTGGGCATTTGATTCACGCAGAGTCCTGTAAAGTACAAAATATTTGAACCATGTTTGTACTCAAGCATACTCCCTTTTCATGTTTCCTCAGGCAGAGATCAACCTGCTAAAAAACAGCCAAGAAGCTCTTATCTGAGAGGGTAAAAAAAACCTCTAGTAAATGTTAGTTTTTTATATATAAATATTTATATTTATAGATATAGACAGTGAAAGGGAGATTGTGGTTTTATGCATGCTTATTTCTTTGCTTTGGATTCCAATACTTCTAAAAAAATTCTTTTCAGGAAATAACTTAAGTTCCGGCACAAGATGCCATAGTTGTTTCTTTGAAGAACATTTTTTACATTTGATCTCGCAAGAAACCCTCCGTCCCAGGCTCTCCTTCTCTGAAACCGGAAGGTCAGAACACAAAGAAAAAGGTGCATGTTTCTATGCCGTATATTTTAGCCTTTCCTCGTCAAAGCCTCCAGAATGGCAGGTATTTCACAACGAGCTGCAGCACAAGAGGAAGGATGCTGTGATTTCATGGCACTGGCTGAGGTACTCGGTGAAGTATTTCACTGACGATTTAACTGCCCCAGTGCCATCCCCAGAAAAGTGACGACAAAAATCAAGCAGCTCTACATGCACATACAGCTACGACGTGCAAAAACACCCCACCTTTTAAGGAACAAAATACACAAACGTGTGGCTAGCAAGAATCTTCTCCAGCCTCCGCCTCCTGGGAGCTCATGCTGGGAAGCCTCCGAACGAGAGGAGGGGAAGAGGGAAAAATACAGGAATACTCAACTCAGGGGTAGAGGCTGTTGCCTCGGAAAGTTATTTCCTGATTACAATCGAGTTCATGCCTGGCTATCTGGGAGCCTTCACCCTGGAAAACAGTGGGTCAGAGATTTCCACTCCAGACTTCCTTTCCCCTCTTCTCCCCATTCATTTAAGGCACAAACATATTTACAGTTTCAAACAAAACCTTTTCACGTTCCAAGAATCAGATATTAGAAGGCCTGTACATTCTGCTGTACCAGGAAGATCCGGACGTAAATCAGCCACCTGGCATTGAACAAGGACATCCCTCAACCCCACCTTCAGTCCTGGAGAAAACAGCGGACTCTAAGCCTATAAAACAGCTTCCATTACTCTGAGGTTACTTAATTGTACAAGAATTGATAAATGGCAACGATTGTAACCAAACTTTAAACGTCAGCTTCCCCACCTTGCCCCCGCAGTGCAAACTGGTTGAGCACTGTTACTCTGGCGGGACTAAAGAGCAGTCAGAACAGGTCTTCAGAGGCTTGCCCCAGGCTGTACACAGAATACAAGAGAGCATGCAGCATGTTTACATAGACTCAACTTTCTTCCCTCCCCCCCACCCTCCCCAATTCAACACACACGAAACCCCTCCACCAAGGAGAATATTGTTGTGACGAGGCACTTGAACGATAACTGGAGAGTCCCTATGAAAAGGCCTTCCCCTCACAGTGAAGTGGGACAAACAGAAGAGAGCAGTTTCTCAGGACTCCATCTCCTCTTGGTCAAGCGGTGGTGGCACAAAGCTGATTACTTCATCGTAAGTCAGGCCTGGTGGGAAAAGCGTGACGGAAACTTAATAGGCAGTACTAAAGACATCCCTTGTGCAAGAAAACCTGCAACAATCTTAAAGGTTCTAACACTATTTTAAACGAAAAACATGGTTTAAGCAAGAAGAAAAAGAAAAGAATGGTTACACCATTCTCACAGACTAACATATACAATAAAAGATACTCACACCTCCTCAACGCTCTGGAAGTAAGTTTGAAAACAAAGACATGAGCAACTATGTCGCCTACGTGTTTGTATGCTCATAGTAATCATTAGTTACCAGGGTTTATGCTAATTATGTGCACAGCATGGGATAGATTCACTCAGTATAAGGTCCTCAGAACCAACAGGATGCCCACGTTTTTACCAGTTTCTTTTGTGCCTCTAACTACCATGGCTGAGTTGAACCGCAGCTATGGAACGGACCACAAGGGAAGCAGGTTGGCTCTCTCTCCCGTCCCCCAAACTCACTTTTCCATTCTTCAATCTCAAGTTCTCTGCTTTCAAAAGACTGGTCATAGGGATCTGCCACTGGTTCATCGTCCGGGTCGTGATACTGAGCAAAGTAGGCATGAGCCAACGCTTCTGCTGCAGTAATTCGTTTGTCTGTGTCCAGTACCAACATCTTCTCTAGCAAGTCCACAGCTGCAAAAGCACCAAAACAGAAAAGAGAGGATTTTTACATAGTGAGCTGTGTGACACTGTATTCTGAAATGTAAGCTCGTAGAAGCCCAATGTATACGAGGAATCTGTAGTTTCTCAGGACCCACCCATGACCCGCAATTTCTTCCTCTTATACCCTCAGCCCACACACACTTGGTAAACTTTGAAAATGGTACGTAGCTCTGTTCTGAACGACTTCTGCAGTCAAAACAAAACTTTGGGAAAAGTCTTGGTGTTCCAGGACACATTCAGCTTCAGGAAGAGCACAACATTTAAAAAGCAAGCCTTACCTAGTGGATTGGCACCAATAAACACATTTTCAAAGTTCATTTTCGGCATGTAAGACAAAGACTGAATGTAGTTTCTTGCCTGTGGAAATAAATACTCTGTTGAAGTATAATATTATCCAGCCACCAAGACAGAGTACATTTCAATCATCCTGAAGCACCCGTTATTACGGTCTGTCTCCTCGCTTCGCCTTCTCTTTACTTATTCTGATACTTACTAAGCTCATCATTGTTATCCCTTCCCAACTAAAGGCCACTCAAGACAGCAAAGGAAGAGCTGACATTATTTGGGGTTCATGCAAGACTGAAAAGCAAAGAG